TGCACGAGCTTAACAGTCTATGACTTCTGGTAGACTGAAGAGAGCGAATGCAAGAATACCTCCAGAGAAGTATGGCTTTGAGGATATGTTGGCATATTCATTTTAGGTTGCTGAAGAAGTGGATGCAGGTGAACCACATTCCTATAGTGAAGCCGTTTCGTGTGGCGAAGCTGATCAGTGGCTTTCCGCAATGGGAGATGAGATGGAATCCCATGACAGGAATCAGACTTTGGAGGTAGTCAAACGACCACGGGGAAGGAAGATTGTTACAAACAAGTGGATCTACAAGAAAAAGGAAGGAATCACTTATGAAGAGGGCATTAAATTTAAAGCTCAGGTGGTTGCACGAGGCTTTTCGCAGAGGGAAGGAGTTGACTACAATGAGATTTTCTCACCAGTGGTCAGACATACATCGATCGGGGTGCTACTAGCAATAGTAGCACATTATGACTTGGAGCCGAGCAGCTAGACGTGAAGACAACTTTCCTACATGGAGAGTTGGATGATGAAATTTACATGACTCAACCAGAAGGATTCCAGGTTCCAGGAAAAGAAGACTATGTTTGTAAGCTAAAGAAGTCATTGTATGGACTTAAGCAGTCTCCGAGGTAGTGGTACAAGAGATTTGACAGCTACATGCTTGATCTGGGCTACAAGAAAAGTCCATATGATTGTTGTGTGTATCACAACAAAGTGGAGGATGGTTCGATGATCTATCTTTTAATGTATGTGGATGATATGCTCATAGCTGCGAGGTCGAAGTCTAATATCCAGAAGTTAAAGGGGCTTCTCAGTGTTGAGTTTAAGATGAAGGATTTGGGAGCTGCTCAGAAGATCTTGGGTATGGAGATCTATAGGGACAGGTCGAAGAAGAAGCTTTTCTTGTCACAGAAGAGCTACATCCAGAAGATACTGTCAAGGTTTGGCATGTCTTAAGCAAGGCCCTTAAATACTCATAGTGTTTCAAATGTTCATCTATCCTCACCTTATGCACCACAGTCAGAGGCTGAGAAGGAGCACATGTACGTTAAGAGTCTAATATGCTAGTGCAGTAGGTAGCTTGATGTACGCTATGGTATGCACTAGACCTGATCTTGCACATGTTGTTAGTGTTGTTAGCAGGTTCATGATACAACCTGGGAAGGAGCATTGGCAGGCTGTGAAGAGGATCTTCTGGTACCTTAAGGGTACACCTGATGTGGGGATTAGCTTCGGAAGTGATACAGAGTGCTTGGTGTCTAGGTATTGTGACTCGGACTATGCTGGAGATGTTGACATGAGGAGATCGATGACCGGTTATGTATTAACTCTTGGGAGTTCTGTAGTGAGCTGGAAGGAAACTCTGCAATCGGCTTTGACATTGTCTACTACTAAGGCTGAGTATATGGCGTTGACAGAAGCTGCTAAGGAGGGAATATGGTTGAAGGGAATGGTTAGTTATCTGGGTCTACATCATGATCAGGCAGTGGTGAATTGCGACAGTTTGAGTGCAATATGCTTGGCCAAGGATCAAGTCCACCATGAGAGGACTAAGCACATCGACATGAGGTATCATTTCTTGAGGATAGAGAAGAGGATTAAAGTGAAGAAGGTTGGCACCGGGGATAATCCTGTTGATATGTTCACGAAGCCGGTCCCACATGGCAAGTTCAAACACTGCTTGGACTTGCTAAATGTCTTGAGTGGGTGACTCCGCCCTACGGGGCATTGATGGCGGGAGAGAGAGAGAAGGAGCAGAGTATATCAGATATTTCAGAGGAAGAGGATTCAAGTCAATGTGGAGATTTGTTGATGTGACTTAGCTTGAATCGGACTATCAGCCGCTACGACTGGAATAGTCAGGGGTCTATAACCGTTTCCTTTGCCATATTGGATTAGGTTTAGACCCACATGGAGAAGTATAAATACTTCTCATCTCCTTTGTAATCTCCTCGATATAGTGAAACTGGCTCTCTCTCGCCCGTGGACTAGCTAACACACATCGTGTTAGTGAACCACATAAATCGTGTGTCGTGTTTTCGATTCTCGCTTTCGTATTCTTACTTTTTCAATTCTGGCAATTTCCCGACCTGTAGCAGCGCGTTTATAACAGGAGGAATAGCTGTGCTGCTCTCATTGCACAACACAAGCCTATGAGATTGAGAAATGAGAGGCATGGCTTCATTGGGCGGAAAAAGCAACCAACCATTAAAACAAACAGACAGAGAAAGAGCAAAGTAAACAAGGGTGGGGGAAACTTCAAGAAAGCAGTAGCATTGTTAAATGAGGAAACCTTAATCCTTATCCATCTGCGTTCAACGTGTACATGCTATCTATACACTCACATGGACTTATTCCCCTCTTCTGAACTCTGCTCCAGTGACCGTGGAGACATCCTAACGTGATCCCATATATATATTTTGGTAAACCCTCAACTTGTCCTCCTTAATCCTAAACAATTTTGGCTAATGATGTTCTAGTGGGACAGCACATCACTTAGCACTAGTTTTACTTTTGTTTTGATAAAGAAGGTTGGAGCTATGTGCAAGAGAAAAAGAGGCCGTAGAGATAACAGCCAGATTCTGAGGAGGGCACTCCAGCAAAAGCCATACAAGATCTAGGCTGGTGGTGACAGTGTTGATTACCATAACCAATTAACTTAAAATATTGCACTAGCTATGCTGGGGTGGGGGCACTTGATCCCAGTACTTAACCAAGTGTGAAAAGTGAAAACCAAAACAAGGAATGGCAAATGATTATCCTGTTATTGTGGTGAAATCGATAACTAAACCAGAATCGATGGTTAACGCTAACATTGATAATCGATTAAATAGTAAACGGTTAGTTACCGGTATCCAAATTTAGTTAATTACTAACCTGCAATTATGCGGTTAGTAATCGACGATTAGATAGTCAACCGACTAATCGAATATAGTTATCCTCATAGTTAGTGCCAAAAATAATAGGCCTCGAAGAGTCGTAGTCATAGGCCAAAACTAATGGCGTGTTTGATGGCCGATAAGATCTCTTGCCTACCCTAGTTGTAATAGTGACTTATGTTCAAATGAGAATAATATCAAGGAAGGGTTTTAGAATGAGCACAGTAGAAAGTTGGATTGCACAAGTAGCTCAACAACAATCAGTAACATTTAAACTTCCATGTAATTTGGTGGGGTGGGGGGTTTCATGAGATGAGTAATTGTTGGTAGGTCTTTTATACTTGTCTGCTTCTTTAATCAAATTCGACGATAGAATAGTGTTATTGTGTACTTGTTTTGGATTGAGTTGATTATGGATTGATATCTATGTTAATTATTTTTATATAATGATAACAACTTAAAAAGAACACATAAGTATGGAGGAAAAATCTAAAAAACGTAACATTTAGAAACGGAGGAGGTCTTTTGTTGGTTAGGTTATTGATCGATTATTTTGATATAACTTTATCGAATCACTTGCTTAACGGTTACATAGTTAACCAATAAAATAATGGAGAACTGAATATACGATTATGGTTAACTGACTAATATAAACGATATGATCAAAAATAGCACAAAGTACTTAACAGTTAATCGAGAACAAACTAAACGGTTTCGATTATAACCAAATTAAATCGAACTGAACCAATTGCCAACCCTACATGCATATCTTAGTAATGGGGAATAGGATTAACCATGGGAATAAATGTTGTGCATAACCTACCTATAAGTAATTGTATAACTTTATTCATGGAAGGCAGCTAACTTTTTTACCAATTAATTTTAATGAGTGATATTTCATTCATTTTAAGTCATAATTTATTTTTTCACAAATAAATCAGATTAAATGTGTTCTTCAAATGACATCCACTTTTATATATTTTAGAACAAAAAAATTGAAACATTTATTACCTGTCAATGGTGCTAATGCTTGGTAGTAAATAAGATTATACCATAGGTTATGAAAGTGTATCATCGAGTTATGAATATACCATAGTTAGAATGGTTGTATATATATGATAAAAATATACTAATTGTCATTTAGCACCTTTCATCATCGTCTACCACCAATTTTTATCCTATACAAGGGTGGTATATTTGGTCTTGCAATTTTCCCCCATAAACAATGGTGGTATAAAGTGGTACCAGTGTACTAACAAATCCACCGTGAGATGCGAAATAAAATATATTGAAAATGAATATCATTTGTAGATCACAACGAACTCATTTGTCTATGCAAAAATAGTATGAAATCCAAATCAAAACAAGAAAAATAAAAATTAATTAAAAATAGCAAAAAGTAAAATCATTTAATCTCACCTCTTAGATCTGACACCACTTCAAATCAAAAGTCCAAATGTGGTTTTGCAAGTGTACACAACCCTATCTTAAACCGGTTAACCATATAACATAATATAATGTATACGTTGGATATTTACAAGGAAAGAAAATACCATCTATCATTTGGTCACATTGGATTTTACTGGATCCAAGGGGTTGTTAGTTGTGAGGTTATACTTATCAGTTATCACTTCTAAATGAAATTTTTTTATAGTTATTGTGATGGAATCTTGAGCCGTATATTTCAAAGATTGATAAACCGCCCAGTCAGATCTTAAAAATTGTTTAGTATAATGCAATTTTTTATGGTATACATATCTTACAAATATCATTTTATTCGGTGTTATACCGTTAAATAAGCAATTGTTTTATAATACTAGTTGATTTGGCGATACTTCACCTGTATAATATTAGCTGAATGTTTTATTAATTTAAACAACGATATGACAATATTAACTGAACCACAATTAAACCACTAAAATATCACACCACTAACTTGTTATATATTTATCTACAAATTACAATTCCCCTTGGATTTTGTCGCCCTTTGCCAGCCCGCCGGCTTGCAAAGCTTGGTAATAGCTTTTCGTTTTCAATCACTTGAAAAATCAACAAATAGTGTATAAGGATTAGGAGCAACTAGAAACCCATTTGCCCCTTTCCCCGGCCTATATAAACAAACTTCATTCTCCACGGTCCCTCACTCAGCAACTGTAACGACTACCGGTGATAGAAAACCCTCCTTCTCTTCATTAAGCAAAATGAAATCCTCCTAGTAATCCTTCAGCTCACATTACCAAGAAATTATCTACTAGGTCGCACATAGTCTCAAATAAGTTCGTTTTTTGGAGCTAAAGAGTTATGAACCTGAAATACAGGGTGAAGGATCTTTTCCATCCTGTTTCCGAAGAGATGCAGGCAGCTGCGAAACAAGGCACTTCTTCTACTCCTCCAAGGAACAGCGGCAATTGCAATGTTAGTTCGTCTCCTTCAGCTTCCGGCCCGACGAAGAAGCAGAGGATCAGCATCAGGGGCGGGTTGATAAGCCGCAAGGAAGCTCCAATTCAAGCCGCTCTAAGCATCGACGAGTTGAAGCTCAAACAGGCCGAGGAGTCGCTGAGGACCGTCATGTACCTCAGCTGCTGGGGCCCCAACTCATGATTTTTAAACTGATCGAAATTGCCTTAGGCCCCTTTGTGTCTCTATGTTTTTTACTTCACGAGTGGTTAGCAATTCAGATAGCGAGAGTTTGCTCTGTAGGTGGAGCTATATGATCTCATCATATCTCTCAACATGTCATCGTGTAACAGCATAATTTTGTACAGATGCATAAAGCTAACGTTTTTAACAACTCCATCCAAAAAACGGACAGGCAAGAAAGGAACATCCACGCATTTATGTGGAAATAGGAACGATGGAGATAAAGGTACCCGTCCCATTGCCATCCCCAGTCTCTATCACGAGGGAGATAATATGATCACCAGATGCTAATTATTAGAAAACTAAGAGCCAGCCAAGAACTGACGAGTGAAGAAGATCAATGAAGAAAACTTTTCATTTCGGCAATTAGTAGATCAAGATCCAGAAATTTTAAAGGTGACTACTGCTATTAAGCAGTTTCCCTCAACTGGGTTCTCTGATTTGGATTGCTACAACAGTAAACAGTCTGCCAAAAGAAAAGTTCTGGACTCTGGAGGAAAGATAAAGAGAAAACAGAGGTGCTCTGCTGAAGAACTAGAGAAACAGGGGAAGGCCTTGTATATTTCAAATTGTCGTTATTTTCGTCGGGGGTTTTTTTTTCTTCTTTCGCATTACACTAAATGAGGACCCCAGCAAACGACGTTCAGGATTCTCTCAGCTCTTTCAGCTTCTCTGATTCTGCTGCTCTTCTGAACCCGATCAACTTCGGCTTTCATCACTTTCTTCGAATCTTCCCTGCCTGAAGAACCAGAAGAAGAAGAAGAGGAAACCCAACTTCCCTGAGCCTCGCTGGGTTCAGCCGCCGCTTGAGAAGCCTTGAATCCTGACATCGCTTTTTTCCAACTCCCTTGACCTGTCTTGCCACTACTCAAGCTCCGTGGAACACTTCAGAGCTATCGAGGTAACTTCTACCCTTTTTTTTTTTCTCGGGAATCTTTTTTCTATGTTTATAACTGCTTTGGGTTGGACAAATGAATTTGGGAGCTGTGTTTATAGAGTGGGTAGAGGAGGGAGATTTTCGCGAAGGGCACGAATTGGGAAGACGTTGGTTCGTTAGGCTTGATTATTGTCAGTCCTCACTCCTCAGTATGGGGGTTGGTATATTAGGAATGTCAGAGGCGTCGTCGTGTTGCTAAGTTTGATAGCAACTACACCTGAAAGCGAAAGGGATCGAGAGATGGTCCAGGAACCTCCATTGAGTTGACGATAATTACTAGCTAAAAAAATTTTATTAAACAAAAAATAATTACACTATTATTTAATCTAGTCTTTTCCAGCTCATGGTTTCCTAGTCAATTTTGGGATTTCCTCCCGTCTTAAATGTTGCATAGGAAAGATAAAATGATATAAAACTTGACAAGTGGTGTCGAGTAGTGATTTTTGTCACTTTTTTCTCTGTAAACTTCTCCTATTTATAGCTTTGAAGTGGTAGCCGCGGTAGAAAAACCGTGTGAGAGTAACTTCCAAAAAGAACTGCTCCCCTTCTTCCTCGAATATGGCTGACGTGTCCTTGAACGTGGGATAATCAGCAGTTGCCCTGTTAACCGCCTACTTTCTCTCTTGGAACTGACGTCTTATTACTTGCCCCCTTTTACTATGGCCATTCCAGATCTCAAGACGAGTGACTTCTACATCTCGCGAAAATATGGTGTCTAGATCTCGCGATCACTTTGATCTATTGGACTTCACGTCAACATGGTCTAGATCTCGCGACCACCTTGGTCTATTGGAATTTCTCTCCCATCTTGAGCTTAATAAAAAAATTTGATTGCCCAAGCCCATAAAGAAAACGGCAAAGGTGAAGATAGAGAGAAGCTAGGGTTTTTGTTAGGGAAATTTTAAACCAACTGTTAGGATTAAATCTAAAATGTGATGGCTATGGTTGAGCTATATTATTAAACACTATAAAAAATAAATAAAAAACGTGTTATATATTTTCTTCAATTTTTTTTCTTCCTTCACACATTACTCATTAGGTGAAATTCTTATACTTTACCTTGAAAAACACTAGGACGAGGATTATAATGAAACTGAAAAGAAACCCCGAACATAATCATTTAACTTTCTGCCTTCCATATTTTTTTTATATTATTGTTTCTAAAACATATTTCCTGAGTACACAAGTATACATTTTTTTCTGTTAAAAAAAATGTTATTATAATGACAAAAGCTACCGTACGCCTATATTCATCACACTTGGTTTTGGAAAAAATCCCATTGTACACACGTTTTTAAAAAAAATTCCCAAAATACATGAGTTATAAAAAATTTTCCCAAAGTACACATGTTTGAGCATCACCGTTTTAGACAAAAGCGGTGAAGGTCATCACCGCGTTTGACGAACACGGTGAATACTTCACCGTTTTAAACAAAAACGGTGAAGTATTCACCGTTTCAAACTAAAACGGTTAAGTTTTCACCGCGTTAATTAACAACAGTGAACATTTCCCACGTTTCCCACGTTTCCCACCCCTGGTAGGTCAAAATTAGGTCGCAGCTACCACCTATTCACCGTTTGAGACAAACGCGGTGATGGTGTTCACCGTTTTCGACAAAAACGGTGAATAGTAGGCAGATTTTCCTATAAATTGCACACCACCAGCAGTTGTAAAAACATAACCACTCCCCTTTCTTCAAATTTCAGCAGCCAAAATCGAGCATAATACACAGAACAGAAATTTTTCGGTATGTTGAGACTTTTCGTATTATAGTCTAATTATGTTTTTAGTAGTTATAGTATGATTTAATTTTCGTATTATGTTGTTGTTAGTTAGTTGAACTTATGTTCGTTAGTTATAGTATGATTTAATTTTCGTATTATGTTGTTGTTAGTTAGTTGAATTTATTTTCGTTAGTTATGGTATGATTTAATATTAGTTGTACAATATGATTTTGGTTAATTTTACTGTCTTTAAGCTAATAGATACTTATTGTAAATTGTAGATATGGGTAAATTCAAGAAGTTTCATCTTACTATTCGGTGGAATGGAAGGGTGACAAACTCTGACATAGGCATTGATTATGAGGACGGCGAATCCATTATGCTGAAAATTGATTCCCGATTCAATTTTCAAGAACTCTGTGATCTTTGTGCAGAAAGGGTTTGTACGAGCGGACAGACGAGACTTGGCAAAATTACTTACCGGTATCCAGACATGAGTGCTGGCGGGGTCGTGTTCCAAGAAGTTGTCATAAACGATGATGACGCGGTTATGATGATGTTACAGTTCCTAAGCGATAACCAAGTCCGGCTTGCAGAGGTGTATGTTGAGACCGAGGCGGTCGGTGAATCTCATTCTCACCAGTATTCTTATGATGATGGTTTTGCAGGAGGGTACGAATGGGGTGGTAGTTCGAGCAACTACCAAGGCGGTGGTTATACAGGAGGTTACGGGGAGGGTGGTGGTTCAATCAACTACGGTGGATCGAGTAGTGCAGGATGGGACAAATACTCGCAACCTCCTAAACCAGCCCCATTTGTTGAGGCCGATGGTGTTCAATGGCCTGCTTGGGGGCCAGAGTGGTATGGAATCGAGAATACCATTCGATCAGGGCGTACTTCACATGAGCGAGAGGACGATGTTGGTGATCGTGGTCATGTTGATCCTTCTAGCCCGAGCTATCCATTCGAGTCGAGCGACGAGGATACTGAGGAAGATTTGATATCAGTGAGCGAGGAGGAGGAAGATACTGATGATAACGAGGGTGAGGCGGCATTTCGTGAGGCACCCACGCCATATTACACACAGGTTCCAACTCAATTTTTACATAGTCAGAATGATCCCCCCGACTTTGTCCCTATGCCAGTGTACAATCCGATGGCCAATTTAGAGGTGGGTATGGCGTTCACATCGAAAGACGCTGTGCAGGATGCTTTTACAGAAGAGGCGTTGAGGCGCAATTTTGAGTGGAAGGTAAAATATTCTGACAGTAAACAACTACATGTCATATGCAAGCATGATGCAGAGGGTTGTACGTGGCAACTGCGGGCTGCAAATATGAAGAGAAAGGGTGCTTGGGTGATTCGCAAAGCTGAGACGATCCACACATGCTCCTCTTCTATACTTTCCCAAGATCACAGGCAACTAAAAGCAAAGAAGGTTGGGAGAACTATTAAGCACCTTATAGAAGCACAACCAGATATCAAGGTGAAAGCTATCATGGTAGAGGTGAAGGATCGACATTCTTACACGATAAGGTACAAAAAAGCATGGCATGGTAAGCAGAAAGCCATGGCTGAGGTGTATGGTGATTGGGAGGATTCGTATGCTTTACTCCCTAGACTTATGGGAGCAATGGAGGAGTCCAATCCTGGGACTGTTTTCGTCCCAGTATACAACAATGTATACACTGAGGATCAAGTTCGAGTACAGGATAAGCTGATGTTCCATCGTCTTTTTTGGGCTTTTAAACCATGCATTGACGGTTTTGGGTTCTGCATACCGGTTATTCAGGTATTTTACCAACTAGTTCCGGTTTTAAATGTTGTATTATTTGCTGTTAAGTATAATTCATACTAATTATATCCTAAATTTTTATTCAGGTTGACGGAACTTTCCTTACTAGGAAGTACAGAGGATGTCTTCTAATTGCCACTGCGTTGATGGAAACAGGCGGATTTTCCCGCTTGCATTTGCATTACTGGAAGGGGAGAACAGCTTAAGTTGGGCTTGGTTCTTTGACCAACTGCACGAACACGTGACACAGCGGGAAGATATTACGATTATATCCGATCGACATGCGGGGATAAGGAATGCTGTTGGTGGTTTTCCCGACGAGTGGGGGTGGAGATGGAGATGGTGTATTCGACACTGGCTCGCCAATTTCCAACACAAATTTGGGAAGAAGAAAGACATCAAAAATCTACTTTGGAATGCAGGTACTAATGTTTTTCTTATGCGATTTAAGTTTGTGTTTATTAAGCTGATAAGCTGATGTTATTCATCATGTATTGACCAGTTAGTCTTTTGTTCACCTTTTAGCGGTTTCACATCAACCAAAAAAGTACGAGCAGAAGATGAAAACGATCCGTCAGGCCCACCGAGCTGGAGCAGTATGGGCTGAAGGTCAAGACTTGCCCATGTGGACAACGGGGCCAGATGGGGCATTGCAACTACCAACCATGGAGAAAGTATAAATAATGTGTACAAGGGTCTTCGAGCGATGCCTATTTCTGTCATCGTGGAAATGTCTTATTGGAAGGTCAACGAGTGGCGAGTTGCTCGGCTACAGCTAGCTATAGGGAGGGAGTTGCAAGGTCATTCAGTAGCACATGACGTATTCGCTCAAATGCAGAAGAACGATGAAAAATCAAGTAAGCATAAGGTTGTTCTTTTTAACCGCAGTGAAGGAATATTCGCTGTCGAAACAGGTATATGGGGTGGAGGGAGACGTGGTCACAATCGTCAAACGGTTAAATTGCACTACGAATTAGGGGAGTGTTCTTGTCAAAAGTATCAGAACGAAAGGATACCCTGTTCACATGCAATGGCGGTTGCTAAGTCAATAACCATGAACAGAAACAGCCTGGTGAGTCCTTACTACACTGAACAAGCGATACGGAACTCATATAATGCAGCTTTGAGCCCCATGCCAGATGAAGCGTATTGGCCTATATACGCTGGAAAGTTGATTATCCCACAGTTGCACCTAAAAGGCACCAAAGGCCGTCCTAGAGTTGAAAGGATACACAATGAGATGGATCAAGTTGAACGGACGAGAAGGGGACCGAAGCGATGCTCTAAGTGCAGACAACCTGGTCACGACAAGAGGCGTTGCCCAGGACAACCATCAACTTAATTTGCATTTACTTGTATTCTGCTACTAAATTGATCGCTTGTTTAATTTTTCATTACCGTTTGCATTTTAAGTCCAAGTATTTTGTTAACTCTAAAATGTTTTCCTTGTCGATACGATCGCGCTGCCGCAAACGGCTCGTTATTTCGAGATCAAACGAATAAGA